GGCCATTAGTGTGAACAAGAATCAGTCCCCAAGGATGTTTTACACTGCCAGAACACCACAAAGGAGCCTTAGTATAAGTGAGAATCAGATTCTTAGTCTTTTCTTACACCCATTTGAGAGAATATAGCATCTTTGAAAGCTAGTAGGACAGGCCTCCTGGTACCGTGAGCCAAATTCTACCTTCATTTTCTCGCACACTTCTCATCCCTGTAGGCATCTCCAAGAGAAGATGACACTGCAAGTAGAAAGCATGCCTGTTTATTTACTTTATTACAATACTCAACTATCTGGACAGAGCAAAATTCCTACACAGACACAGATTGACATGAGTTATTGAAAACGGCAGTGCTTACCCTCATGAGGTGTGCATATTCCAAAGATGATCTCATCTTCTATGTGCTTCAGAATATCAAACTTCTCAACGTAAAAAACCAGCTCACGCTTCCCACTAATCTCTTCCAGCTGAGTTTTATTTGCATTAAACACCCCAACAGAGTAGATAATAACACCTTGATCACGTAGGGTTTTTGCTGGACCTTTTACTTCATCCTGCGCTTCCCCATCTGTAATCAGGATAAGAATCTTTTTGACAGCCGGACGTGCACCTTTGGGAGGCTTGAAATAATCAGCTACAAATGTCAAAGCGCCTCCTGTTAGTGTATTTTCCCCTATAAGAGACATTCTAGCAATAGCACTGAAAATGTCACTTTTTGAAGAGTATCGGTCAAGCTGGAACTCTTCCTTCTGTCTGTCACTGAACTGGACGACCCCAACCTGCACTCGGTCTGTGCTGATGTCAGATTTGTTCACCAGTTCTCTCATAAAGTTTTTCATTTTCAAAAAGTTCTCTCGTCCTATGCTTCCAGAGCTGTCCACTAGAAACATGATGTCAGCTGTCATTTCTTTGCAGGCTATAGAAGAAAACATTTATATTAGTATAACCCAGGCTGTACATTAAAAATAAGTAAATAGACTTAACTGGGGCAGGATGATCTGGGATAGAAGGTGGGTGCTAAGATTTCTGGCTGTGCTGGGTAAATGGGGGAATAGTGAGGTAGGTGGATGGGTGCTGTCTGAAGAATAGCTGGGATGAGGAGCCTGGGGCCAATACTGGGCCCTCTCTCACATTCTGTTACTGCCTCCTCCTCCAGTTGCTGCTATGCATTAGAATAGGGCTACCATATTTCCACAAGCAAAAAAGAGGACACTGGGGGGAGGAGCCCCACC